AAGATTTTATTTATTTATTTATGAGAGACGGAGAGAGAGAGAGAGAGAGAAGCAGAGGGAGAAGCAGACTCCCCACTGAGCAGGGAGCCCGATGCGGGGCTCGATCCCAGGACCCTGGGATCATGACCTGAGCCGAAGGCAGACGCTTAACCATCTGAGCCACCCAGGTGCCCGAGATATTTTTCTTAGATATCCTCCTTTTTTTTTTTAAGATTTTATTTATTTATTTGACAGAGACACACAGCTAGAGAGAGGGAACACAGGCAGGGGGAGTGGGAGAGGGAGAAGCAGGCTTCCCGCCCAGCAGGGAGCCCGACGCGGGGCTCGATCCCAGGACCCTGGGATCATGACCTAAGCCGAAGGCAGACGCTTAACGACTAAACCACCCAGGCGCCCCTTAGCTATCCTTCTAAAATCTCAAAGCCAGACTCCTCAGATCTCTTGCCAGGGGATCTTACCAGTCCTGTGCTCCAACATTCGTGGTGGCCCCACAGTGCCCATTGATAGAGGGGTAAAGCCTTCCCTGCCACCCTCAGGCTCATCTGCAATATGGACCCCCCCATCCCTGTGCCCATCTGCCATGATCTTCTGTCTCCTCCTGCTTCTGACTCTGTTTTCTGAAAGAGCTAGTGCACCCTGAAGCTCAGAGAGGACCCTCCCCTGCATGCCCCTCACTCCTGTTCCCCTTGGCCCCCAGAAACCCTTTGTATCTAGAAAATAGCCTGGCAGGAAATATACTAAATATGACTAGTGGTTACTTCTGGATGAATGGGATTCCAGGTGACTTATTTTTACATCTGTTAAATGTTTTCCAAATTTCCTGCGGTATGTTTTACTGTAGAATCAGAAAAGAACTTGTTAAAATAACTTCAAAAAAAGAATCTTATTCATCCACCCTGCCCACTTCCGCTTTCCTCTTCAAACCCCTTCTGTTCCTTTGTTCACCTGAGGCTTCCCTAAAGGTCATGGGTGGGGCTGCGGTCCCGGGCTTGAGAGCCAGGTGGCCTCTCGTGCAGCATGATCACCCTTGTCCCCGGTGACCCCTACCCCACGCCCTGAGTGTACTGGACACCCCAGAAATGTAGGAGGAGCAGAGTTAAGATAGACACATTCACAGTAGTATTTATCAAAACACTGAAGACTCATTAAACGTCTATCCGTGGGGGCCTGGTTAAACGGGGCGTGGTGGGTCGAGGGCCCTGCCTGTTAGCCATTAGGAAGAAGGACATAGATTCCCGCTGCCGTTATGAACTAACTTTGAAAATTTGTCATTAAATGAAAAATAAGAGTTCCAGAAAAATAAATGTAGTTTGTTCACATTTACATAAAGAATAAAAGGATAGATACACACGCACGCACGCACGCGCACGCACACGCACACGCGCACGCACGGGCACACGCGCACGCACGCACGCGCACGCGCACACCCTTATATATGTAGAGAGTATCTCTTGAAGGATCCCCCCCAAACTGGTAACAGCAGTTGTTTTAGGGAAGGGACCCAGGGGCCAGGAGAACTGGGTAAAAGGGATCAGGAGTTGTGAGTGTTGTTTCTGTTTGGTTTTAAAAACCTGTTTCCATGTACCTTTGACAAAGAAGAAGGACAACTTACGAAACAAAATGGAAGTAGCCATCCCAGAGCGCCCCCACTATTGAGTAAGTGGGTGGACTCTCAACTTGGTTCCCCTTTCTGTCCTTCCTTCTGATGGGCCTGGGGCGGGGGCTGTGGAGAGCAAACACCACCCAGCTCCATCTCTGCAGATGGAGCTGGCCCCCTGCTCCAATGAGGACCCTGTGCACAGAGGCCCCATGAGATGTCTCCAGAGGGAGCTGGGGCTGTGAGTTGGGGAGTGATCCCCCCTGCTGGCCAGGCACCACTCCGGCCTGGGGTAGAGCCTCCCCACCCAAGGCAGGTCATCACAGGCCTGTTGCCATACCCTCCCGGGCACTTTCTCAGGCCAAGGAGCACCAACCAACAACAAGGCATGGTAAGCAGGCACCCTGGCAGCCCGTCTCCCACAGGAAGAAGCTGTGTCCCACAGGGCGGGCGCGAGGGCCAGTGTGGTGGGAGAGACACCTGAACCCTGGCTTCTCTGGTTAGGTAGGACACCCAGGGCCAGGCAATGCAGGCCCTTCCTGCATCCTTCCTTCCTGCTCCCCAGCGGGGCCCACACACCTCCAACCTTCCTCACCCCAGACTTTGTCCCCGTGGGCCCGCTATCAGCCACAGACACTGAGAGTCACGGACAGTCTTTGTCACTTAAGAAGCCAATCTGGCCGGTAGCTAGAGCCCCCTGTGCCAGCTGTCCAAGCCTGTGGGCAGCGCACCCCACTGCTCAGGCTGCGAATGTGGTCTGGGACTCGGTGGATGTGGGGTCTTGTTCCTGCAGCCACTTACAGGGCACGTCCCTCCTGCCACCTGGGCCTCAGTCTCCTGGCCAATAAAATTCTCCAGGGAGGCAAATTGTGCTAAACAAAACCCTGGCATTTGGAGGGGTTGGGGAGCTTCGTGGCTTTTACCCAAGCTCAATTCAAATATGATTTCCAAAACATATTTTAAAGGACTCAAATATTTGTAATAAGCATCAACGTGTAGATTTAGAAATGACACGTGATTTTCACATGTCGGAGCCCACTTGTGTTCACGATTTCCTTAGCAGCACGCAAATATGTTGCCAATTCAAACTTAGAAAATAAATTGAAACGAACTTAGAAAATAAACTGAGTGCCGCTCTTGTCAACTGCCTGCACTGGGGCCCTGGGCTCTGCCGAATTTTGTCTGGACAAAGGGTCTGACAGGCATCAGGCTCTGTCACCACAGGGGGGACAGGAGGATCAAACCAGTGCTTCTTGCGGAATGCCATCTGTGTCTAGCCCCGGCGCTGGGGGACAGGGTTGCGGGGGGCTCCCCAGCGGATCGTGGAACATCTTGAGATCCTAGTCAGAGCAGTGCCACTGACTGGCAGAGATTTGCAGGGTCAGTTCTGGAAGTCACTAGCAGGTGACGGCTCTAGGCTGATCTGCAGGAGGTAGGGTCGGCTTTCAGCGCCCGAGTGGAGGGAACAGAACTTCCCTGCAGCTGCCGGGAGCCATGGCTCAGACACCCAGGCCTGGGGCCAGAAACAAATACTCATAAGGCCAGGGCACACTTCCGAGGTGCCAGGTGCCATGCAGCCTGCCACCTCCCCCGTGGGAATGCATTGTTTCTCACATCTGCATGAGGAGGCTTAGCCTCCTTTTACAGGTGAGGAAACTGAGGCAGAGATGGTTTACACCCCCCCCCCCCCCCCCCACCCCATCCTGTGGCTCGTGAGCAGTAGTGCTAGGAGTCAAACCCTAAGCCAGAGTGGAACCCAGGGAACGGCACCTGCCCAGGTGATTCAGGTGATCCACAAAGAAGTCCTTCACTGCTTTGTACAGGGTTCCAGGGCCTGGGATACTGGACTCGGGTGCTAATATTTCTGACCAGCAGTGGTCTTCTCATAAGCATTCCCTTTTTGCTGGCGTTTAATCCATTGGGTGGCTGTGGATGAACAATGTCGGAGAGGGGTCTCTGACGCCTGGCACAGGCAAGCCCCTGCTCCTTCCTTCGCTTCCCTTCCCCCATCAGGAAGGGGGGGGGCTGGACTTGACGACATCTGGGTGCCCTTCCTATTCTGACGTCCTGTAACTGACTGGCAGTCTGGGGGACGTGGGAGGGGTCAGGGGTCGGAGTGGGTCCGCCGGCCTCCAGACCCCACAGTCTGAGCTTCCAAGAAGTCGTGGGAGTGGCCACGCGGGCACAAGAAGGGGGTGTGTGGGGTACAGTGACTGCCGGGCAGAGCAGCATCTCAGAGGGAAGAGAGGAAGGAGATGGAGGTACCCTGATGGGGGGGTCCCCCTGTGACGTGGTCCCCATCCAGTCACACCAGCTGTGACAAAGAGCCACAAGGGAATGTGGTCTGGGAGACTGCGGAGCTCATTTACCTCAGGCTAAAAATAGTGCCTTCTCTGCAGCAGGTGGGTGACTCAGCAAGCCCTGGGAAAGCTCCTGGGCAGAGAAGACATGATGCCTGGAGGCCTTGCTTTCCCCCAAGTGCCAGAACAACAGGAAGGCTGATGGACAGGGGCAGAAACATAGGATATATTTGGCAACTCCTCCTGGGCGAACTGAGTTCTCCCCGCTCCCCTCCCCCAGACTCACTGTTCAAAATGAAATTGCTGTTCCAGGCCCAGTCTTGTGCTAGCTTTCTCCCAGGGCTTAAAGGGTGAGGAGAGCGCGGAGGGTGTGTGCGGGTGGGAGGGTGTTCGTCCCCACCTGGCTGGGGGGCGGGGGACGAAATAGGCCAGGCGCCGTCTATCCTGTGGTCTGCCTTGGCCTTTGACTCCCACCTTGGCCCCCTGCCCACCTGCCGTGGGACCGCAGGAGAGCTGCTGATGCCCTGGCCGTTCTCTGCCATGCTCTGTGCCCAGGGAAAAGGTAAGTGCTCCCTTCTTCCCATCCCAGGCTCTTCAGGAAGCAAGCACAGTCCTGGCCTTCTAGATACATCTCCAGAGGCTCAACGGAAGCTGAGGAACGAGGCAGTTATCTGGAGAATTTGCCCTGCCTCAGGCAGCTCTCTGAGCAGATTGCTGTGTAATGGCAAGAGGCAGGACCAGCACCAGGAGTCGTTCCTGCCAGTCACTTGGCTGTGTGACCTTGAACAAGTCCATTTTCCTCCCTGGTCTCCAGTTTCTCCTCTGTTTATCCACTTATTTAATCTCTTCCACAAATAGGCCTTAAATGCATACCTGTGCATTCCATGCTAGACACAGGAAAATAACAAGGATGGAGGATTCCAAATGTCTAGGGAGTCTCCACACCTCTCCCTATCAAACACTGGCACTATTTCTCCATCCCCTGACTCTGGGATGGCCTTGTAACTTGCTTTGACTAACAGGATGCTACAAAAGTGACATGTGACTTTCGTTCTCACCCTCTTGGAGCCCAGCTGCCACTGGGGAAGCCTAAGCTAGCCTGCCAGAGTGGTCACACAGAAGGGAACTGAGGTGCCCACACCGACAGCCTCGGCCAGCTGCCCGTCATGTGGGTGAGGCCAGGGGGGGCCCCCAGCCCCCAGCAGACTCCCAAACCACCGGCAGCAGAGATAAGCCATCCCAGCCAAGCCTTGCCCAACTCGTCAATCCAGAGAATTGTGAGCCATTGAACGGTTCCAGTTTTAAGCCACTGTTCTGGAGTGTTTGTTACGGAGCAAAAGATAATCAAGGTAATTAGCATTTTGACATATGGACCACTGTCTATGTGCCAGGAGCTATATTAAATGTTTTACACGTATTATCTTTATTTCTCACATCAGCCATGTGAGGCAGGCATTGTTATCTTAATTTCCACTTGACAGATGAAAGCACTGAGGCATGAGAAAGAGAAGGAACTTGACCAAGATGGCAGAACAGGTGAGTGGTGGGGCTGGGGTTGGAGGCCCTGCAGGTCGGGCCTCAGAGCCCACACCGCTAGCCCCTACGCTGTGTAGAACAGAGCAGCTATGGTTCTTGCCCTCGTGGAGTTGACGGTCTAGGGGGAGACGGGCGGGAAACACACAGAGAAAGGAATATACAAGCACAAAGAGTGGTAAGTAGTGTGAAGAAAGTGGGTGTTATGTTTAGTCCCAGGGGAGCCCTCCGCAGAGCGCTGAGGATGGAAGGGGGAGACTCTGAGAGAAATGCAGATCCCTGGGCCTCGCTGCCTGGTTGAGGGCCGTCCCTGGGCCTCGCTGCCTGGTTGAGGGCCGTCCCTGGGCCTCGCTGCCTGGTTGAGGGCCGTCCCTGGGCCTCGCTGCCTGGTTGGGGGCCCGGCCGTCTTTTTTTTTTTTTTTTTTTAATGTGCCCCCTGGGTGATTTTTCTTATCAGAGAAATTTGAGAAACACAGTTCAGTGGAATCACCTGAGGAGATTAAGAAACATAGCTGCCCAGCCCGCATCCTGAGATTATGACTCAGTTGGTCTAGAGTGAGCCCAGAAATCAGTATTTTTAAAAGCTCCCAGGGTGATTCTAATGTATAGCACAGGATTAGAACTGATTCCAGAAGATTCTACAAGGTCCTAGACTGTTTTTCTATATCTCTTTATAAGGTAATCCCAGGATTACCTGGTGCTTATTAAACTGTTCTTTTAGTGATTTAATACTGTGGAGGGAGGGCCTGAACTGAGCCTGAGGTAAACCCTTGCTCAGGGACTCGCCCCTGATTGAATGGACCCCTCCTCACGGACCCCCTTGCCAGATAACTTTCCCAGGGCTCCTGCAGGGGCTCCCCATGGCTTCCAAGTCCCCTTTAACTTTGATTTGTTTTAACGTGGAGCATTCCTTTAATGGCTGAGAGAAGTTGCTTACCTCCCACAAACATTTGCCCTTCTGTAGGCTAGCCAGACAGCCCCTTGGTTTTTTGTTTATTTGTTTTTTAAAGATATATTTATTCATTTTAGAGAGAGAGAGAAAGACCTCGGGCAGGAAGGGCAGAGGGAGAGAGAATCCCCAAGCAGACACCCTGCTGAGCGTGGAGCCTGATGTGGGGCTCCATCCCAGGACCCTGAGATCATGACCTGAGCCGAAATCAAGAGTCTGACAGTTAACCAACTGAGCCACCCAGGTGCCCCGGCAGCCCCTTGGTTTTATTCTCTCTTTCTGACGTCCCAGCTCAGGGACCTCTGGGGCATCGATTCCCCACTGTGAGAAGGATGGCGTCTGTGGTATGGCCACGAGAGGAGATGTGTTGGTACATAGACAGTTTCTTGTCTGGTTTCTTACTCTTCTTCCAAAGGAGGCCGGAAAACCACTGGGGGTTGCTCCTGCTTGATTCAGACCAAAGAGTATGAAAGAATCTGCTCTTGGCTTGGGGCCTGCCAGGCTCGGGCCTGGAGAAAGCTCCTGGAGGCGAGAGGGCAGAGAGGGACCAGAAGAGGCCTAGCCTAGCTGCAGCCCTGGGGAGCATGCCGCCTGGCCCGGGCGAGCAGAGGTGGTGTGCTGGCAACACAGGTGTGAGCTCTGGCACCTGGGAGCCTCGATTCCTCGTTCTGCAGTGTGGGTTGTGCTCGCAGTGCGGGGGCGGGGGGACGAGAACTCAGGGTTCACAGCAGGGCCTGGGCATGGTAGGCACTCTCTAACGGGGTTCTCGTTCCTCTTCTTTGGGACAGATACACAGAAATGCACTTGACACTCTTTTTTTTTTTTTTTTTTAAAGATTTTATTTATTTCAGAGAGAGAGAGAATGAGAGACAGAAAGCACGAGGGGGAAGGGGGTCAGAGGGAGAAGCAGACTCCCCGCCGAGCAGGGAGCCCGATGTGGGACTCGATGTGGGACTCGATCCCGGGACTCCAGGATCATGACCTGAGCCGAAGGCAGTCGCTTTAACCAACTGAGCCACCCAGGCGCCCTGCACTTGACACTCTTGAGGAAGACAGAGCCTGTTGGGATAGACCCCAGGAAATGTCCTGCAGGGGCTGGGACAGACCCCAGGGACCGTGGCCCATCCCTGGAGGCCCCAGATCTCCCAAGAGACTCCAAGAGCAGAGAGGTCTGCCCTGCTCGCCTGGCCTCACACTCCGAGGGCTCTCTGGGCGGCCCTGTGGGGCACAGCCTGCACTTCCAGGGGGCAGAATGAGGCTGTGACTCGTTCTCAGGCCCCGGCTCTCAGAAAGAAAGGGTCTGCTTGGGGGTGTGGCTGGGAGGGAGCCAGGCCAGAGGGCGTAGGGAAAAACGGGGTGCTCCAAGACCGCTTAACTCAGGGAGAAATCATCCCGGGAAGGGGCCAGTTTAAAAACACAACTGCGCTGGTGGTCTCTGCTGTCTTCTGACCCATCCTTCCAACTGGAAGCGTGATGGGAGGCCCCACCGGCCAGGTCAGGCAGGACCCCCTTCCTGAGCCCTGGGTGAGACCTGCGGTGGGCACCACCCCGGGAGGCAGGCAGAGCCAGGGTTTTGCCATCATGTCTTGTTCTCTCGACCCCCTACTCTCCTCCCCAGCCGCCCCCTCCTCACCAAGCCAACTAGGGACTGTTACCAGGACAACTTCTTCTATATGGCACAAATAGTTTTAAATAGTGCAGAGGTAGGGGTGCCTGGGTGGGTCATAGGGTTGAGCTGCTGACTCTTGGTGTCAGCTCAGGTCGTGATCCTGGTGTCCTGGGATCGGGCTCCATCCACATCAGGCTCCATGCTCAGCATGGAGTCTGCTTGAGGATTCTCTCTCCCGCTCCTTCTACCCCTCCCCCCACTTGTGCACTTGTGTGTGCATGCACGCTCTCTGAAATAAATAAATAAATTTTAAAATTAAATAAATAAATAGACAGATAGTGCTATGGGCCAGTAGCAGTGGCCCTGGGTATCAATTTGTATGTGTTAACCTGCATGGGGGTAGGTTAGGACTCTGAGGAGGAAATTTGGTGAGTAGTAGGGGTGGGGCAGGGAGAGAAGCAAGGGGCCCAAGTCTGACCTTCTATATCACTAAAATTTTGGTTGGATGTAATAGAAAACACAATGTTTTGCTTAATGCAAAACCAGAATGTATTGGCCTTGGAAATGAAGTGCAAGGGAGCATGGTTGGCTTCAGACAAGGCTTCATTAGGAACTCTAAACAATGTCATCAAGGCCTGCTGTTCCCTGTTGTCTTTGGGCTCAGCTCTTCTCCAGGTAACAGCTCAAGCCTGGGCAGGTTCCACACCCTGGGGGCAAGATGGCTTCAGAAGCTCCAAGCCTCTCACCCTCTCCTCAGGTCAAAGAACCAGTCGGCTTCTCTGAGAGCCCCAAATTCTGGAACTGAGTTTCATTGGCTCTGATTGGCCTGACCTTGGTCGTATGCCCATCCCTTAATCAATGACAGCCAGGGGGATGGCATATCCTAAGGTGGGGTGGATCTGTGTGGGACAGGGATCCGCAGAGGGAGCTTGGTCGTGGTGGGGTTGGGGGCCGTTTCTCTGGAGTCATAACCTGAGTAGAGTTACTGTGAGTGAGTGAATGGAAACAGGCTGAGAAGAAACACTGACTCCTTACTCTCTGTAGAGAGAAACCCCAGGGTTTCTCTGGGGCCTGGGCTGCAAACTGAGAGAGGGGTCTTCTGCCTATTTCGGCTCAGAGCACAGAACCGCGTTGCGCTGGGGAGGACCAAGGGCCTGCCACGTCGGCCCGCTCCAGGGGTTCTAGCCTTCTCAGGGAAGCAGGGACCTCACGGAGTACCCCAGGCAGTGAGAGAGACGAGGTCCCTGCCTTAGTTGTCTGGTACCTAGCAGACAACAAGGAGGTCAGCAGACTGGCTGTGGGCACCCATGTGACACCCAAGGAACTTGCAGAGATGATGGGGGATGGGGTGGCAAGTATACTGGGGTCCCCTGTGGGAGAAAAGGGCGGCGTCCTTGGTATGTGTACCTTTGCTGGCTATGACCCTTCAGTCTAGGGGTCAAAAGATTTGGATTCTGCTCATTGCCAGACTGTTTGTTAGCCTATGGCCTTGGGCAAGGCCTTCTCTCTTTCTTGGCCTCAGTTTACTCCTCCGTAAAATAGGAGTGTTATCAACCACCTCAAGAGTTGACATGGAAATCAGGTGAGCCAGGGCAGATGAAATGGGGAAAGGCTGAAGTGTGCCTGTTAACCCTCTTTAACCTGATTGCTGGAGGCCTGAGGGGGACGGGGGCCGAACGTTTGTGCCTGGAGGTATTCTCATCAGGAGGAAAAGCCGAGAAGAACAAGCCCTACGTGTGCCCAGGGGAAGCTGGTGGCCCCAAGAGACCCTGGGGGCCAGGCTGCCAGCCAGGGATGTGGGCGGCTCTCTGGGCCACTCCCCTTCCCTGCCACTGAGTCAGAGGAAGGGACTCAGGCTGGGCATCAGCCGGGCAGGTTTTACCAGTTGACCGGAGAAGGGAGGACTCGAGAGAGAAGGAAAAGCGAACACAAACAACCTCCTCCCACGGGCCCCAGCACAGATGCCAATCTTCGTCTTCAGCACTGGGGGAGTGTGCATGGGCCCCAATCTGCACTTCCTCCTGGCCTCTCCCCAAAGCCCAACAGCGGGGCCCTCTGGGTGGGGATTGCATGTTTCCCAGGATGCAGCTGGTCACAGGGACCCAGCCCTCTTCTCGCCCTGACCACCCACTCTCCAAGGCCTGGGTTCCCTCTGTACTCCTCCTGATCTGGTGTCCACACCACCTCGCTCCCATGCCAGAGCCTGGCCTGCCAGATTCAGCCTCTTGGAGAGCTGACAGGTGGAAATGTCTTCTCTCTGCCATGCTTGACCTTTCAGTCCACCTATGAATCAACTGGTATTGGATGGAAACACTTCTTTTCCATATTTGCCCCAGGCTGGGCAGCTTGCTCTTCCTTGCCGAGGAAAGGCCATTCTGTTTGGCCAGTACTGGAGGCCCCCAGGGGTCTCAGACCATGTCCACAGAGAATAGTCATTACAGTGGGAAAGTCATGGGTATGGAGTCAGACTGGATTGTAGCACCTGTGCTGGTCAGCTATGCAATTTTGGACAAGCTAATTTACTTCTCTAAGCCTCAATTTCCTTATCTGGAAACAGTATGGTCGTGCCTTACAGGTGGCTGTGAGGACTGGAGATAAGAAGTGCAAAGCTCCTAGCAGGGGTCAATAGATGAACCTTCCTGTCCTTGCACACCTTATCACGTATTACTTTCATGTTTCATTCCCTTCTCTACCCAAAATGATCAGCTTGTTTGCTCAGCAATCATGTGTCGAGAGTCTACTTTGCACCAGGGACAATTATCTTTATCTCCATGGCCTTGGGAAATTGCCAGGAGCTCATTTGATTCAAGAGACTACGGTGGCTTGGAGAGAGTAAGAGTTAGAAGGCTACCAGGGGGTAGAGCCAGGAGTTGATGTTGGGTCTTCAAGAACTTATGGTAACCACATTCCACGGGTTTCCATGGACTGTCGCTCTGCCTGGAATGTCCTCCCACCTCGTCTCCTTTCCGGATGCGATCAGTCATTCAAGGTCTCATTCCTTCCATCGCCTCCATGACACCTTCTGATCAGTGAGGACACTTGTGGTTGCAAGTGATAAGAAATTTCATCCCAAGCAGGCTTAAGGAAAAAAAAAAAAGGAAGTTTTTGCTTCAAGTAACCCAAAAGTCCAGGTCACCTTATTTAAGGGAAGGTTAACTAATAGCTCAACTAATGTCTGTATTTTCCTTCTCTCTGGATCTTGGCTCTGCCTTCTTTCCTGACAGTGGAGTGCCCAGCCCCCCACGGTAGTAAAAGTGCACAGCAGTTCCAGCGCTCATGTTCTTGCAAGTTTCGGGCAGAGTGAGAGGATGAATCTTAATTTCTCCAAGGCTCAAACTTAGTCTCAAAATCGAGACACATGATCTCTGATCATCTTGAGATGGGTCAGGTGCCCATTCCTGAACCAGTCTTATGTCCCGGGGGTCAGAGTCCGCGGCTTAGCTTAGACCTAAATCACATGACTCTCTGGAGATGCTACCCTCTGGAGGGAAAGTGAGCTGTGCTCACCAGGAGACAGGAGAGGGGATGCTGATGGCAAAACCACAGATCTCCACAAGCTATTGTTACTTTTCCCCTTTTCTGAATTCCTGCATTCCTGTTTTGCTTTTTTTTAAAAAAACTTATTTATTTATTTGAGAGAGAGGGGGCAGGGAGGAGCAGAGGCAGAGGGAGAGGGACAGAGAATCCCAAGAAGACTCCCTGCTGAGTGTGGAGCCCAACGCGGGGCTCAATCCCAAGACCCCAAGATCACGACCTGAGTCGGACGCTCAACCAACTGAGCCACCTGGGCGCCCCAATGTTCCCGTTTTTCTGCTGGACATCTCTGGTGCGCAGCAAACTCCTTGAGGCCAAGGCCCCACTGTGTGACCCTGAGCTCTTAGGAAAGCCCCTGGAAGAGAATGGGTGCCAACGACATACTTTCAACTGACTAAAGTGTTTGTTCAGAACTTGTTGCATCTAGTCCCCTGCCAGTTGTATCAGGATTTACCTGAGGAAAAGAGAAACACTCTAGCCATTTTAAGGAGGAGGGGGTTTATGACTGGGTATTACATGACGTACAGAATCACTGGGAAGGTTGAAGCTCTAGGCTGAGCTTTTAGGAAGGACCCTGTAGGTCACACTGAGGAACTGGGCCACCCATCAGAAGACACCGCAGTCACGAAAACTTTCTTCTACCAGCTCCAGCACCACCGTGTGCCTGACGTGATCCAGGCACACTGGTGCCCATGTCCGGCCTCTCAACACCCACCAAGTCGGCCACTGGACCCTTGAGTTTTGCTGACCCCACTGAGGTAAAAGCAGGCTTGACAGCAAAAGGAGAAATAGTTAGAAGTTTGGCCCCCACCATCTTTCCACTTTCACATCTCATGTGAGTCATGTAGTCAAACCTGAATCGTATCTGGAATCTAGGAGAAATGCAGTTGTGTTTTTAAAACAGAGTATTTTGTAGAGCAATTTTAGCAAAGTTGAGCAGGAAGTACAGAGTTCCCGTAGAGTCCCTGGCTCCACACGGGCGCAGCCTCGTCCCCCCTTAGCTTCCCCCACAGGGTTGGGACACTTGTTACAATTGATGCACCTACACGGACACATCATGGTCATCCGCGGTCCCTATTTACATTCGAGTTCACTCTTGGTGCTGCACATTCTATGACTTTTGACAAATGCATAATGACATGTACCTACCAATATAGTATCATACAGAGTATTTTCACTGCCCTAAAAATCCTTTATACTCTGCTTGTTCATCCCTCCCTCACCACTAACCTCTGGCAATCACTGATCTTTTTTTCTTTTCCCAGAACTTTAGTATTTTCATCCTGGAGGATCCACGTTTTGAGAGACTTGATTTAGGACAAGGTAGGTAAGGGAACAGACCCAAAGCCACTATATCTTAGCTCAGCTGCTTCCTAGCTGTGTGACCTTGAGCAAGTTACTTCACCCCTCTGTGCCCTTGGATGCTCTTTTCTATTAACAGTCCCTCCTCATAAGATTGATATGAGCAGTTAGTGAAATAATTCACATAAAGTGCTTGACAGTATCTGGCACGTGGTAAAAACTCAACGAATGTCTGCTTCTTAGTGATGAACTCAAAGCAGCCATATCCTGGATACAATTTCTTTTCTTTTCTTTTTTTTTTTTTTAAAGATTTTATTTATTTATTTGAGAGAGAGAGAATGAGAGATAGAGAGCACGAGAGGGAAGCGGGTCAGAGGGAGAAGCAGACTCCCTGCCGAGCAGGGAGCCCGACGCGGGACTCGATCCCGGGACTCCAGGATCATGACCTGAGCCGAAGGTAGTCGCTTAACCAACTGAGCCACCCAGGCGCCCCCTGGATATAATTTCTGTGAAGGGGATTTTTATTTATTTATTTGAGAGAGTGAGAAACAGCATGAGAGGGGAGATGGCCAGAGGGAGAAGCAGACTCCCCGCCCGACGTGGGACCCGATCCCGGGACTCCAGGACCACGACCTGAGCCGAAGGCAGTCGCCCAACCAACTGAGCCATCCAGGCGCCCCTTCCCTCTCAACTTTTGATTTTGGAAAATTTCAACCTACAGAAAAATTGAAAGAGGAATACAATGAGCACCTGTACCCCTTTCACCTAGATTCATCAACCGCCAACACTTTGCCACATTTGTTTTCTTTCCCTCTCTCTTTCAGGAAGTGAGCTGCAAGCTTGATGACAATTTACCTCTGACCAGATGAGCTATTATCTCAGAAAAACAAAAACACTCTCCTCCACAACTGTTATCACACTCAATAAATTTAAGTTGATGCAATAATATTACCTCATAAATATACCTCCTCCTGAGGTCCCCCCAGCTCAGTGCCCACCCCAGGCCCTGCCTCTGACCCTATCTGTGCAGATGCTAAAAAGGGCTAATCTTTGAGCCTTCCTTGGGATAGGGTCTGTATGTCTTGGCAAGTTCTCAGCCTAAGCATCTGTTTCTGACTGGGGGTAGGAGTGAAACACCAAGGGGTAGACAGTGTGAGGGGCCAGGGCCATGCTCCATGGACACCAGGCCCCAAACACTGACATGAAGCGACCTCTAGAAGCCATCAAGTTCAACCCCAATCTCCCCGAAGAGGAGACGGAGGCCCCAGAGTAATGAAATGACCTGTCCAAGGGCTCATGAATTCAAAACGCCTGCCGGGGGAGGGGGTGGAGGTGGGTTAGACTGGCTGCCTAGGAAGGTCTCGTGGGGGAGCCATGAGTGGAGAATGGACACAGGCCGAGAACATACCCCCATGTGTCAGGGTCTGCTCCTCAGGTCCCAGAAGCAGAAACTAGGTTTGTTGAGGACACCCAGAGGTGACTGCCACCTTGGACTTGGCTGATATTAGCCAAATTCTGGAGACCAGAGTCTAAACCAGAGTCCCTCATATGAATGGCGTTGGCAAGGGAAGAGTCCAGTGAGTCCATCTCGTCATTCCCTGGAGGCTGCTTGGCACACCTTCCTTCCGGGAGGCATAGTGCCACCTTTTTGTTCTTTGAATTCATTTCCTGTCCCCCCTGCAGACCAGTGCCTCTCCCTTATACCCTCTGACCCATTCTTTCTCAGAAGGGACACTGCACAATTTGTGAGCCTGTGCCCTCGATGTTCATCCATCACGTCATTTCTGACATCTCATCCAGATTGCCTTGTTTAGAGTCTAGGTGTTCCCAAACCGTTTCAAACATATAATCCCAATAGTCTCTGGGATTGGAGTGTTTCAAAAGATTCATACAATCATTCAACCGAGTATTTGGGGATCACTCATTAAATGCCAGGCTCCAGGGAGACAATAGTGAGCAAGATGATGGAAGACCCTTATCAGGAAAGTGATGTTACCGAATAGTCAGCTTATATACAGGACTGTAGCTGGGGCTGGAGAGGGGCTACGGTGGGGGCTGGGGACCAGTGAGGGCCCTGTTGCTCTGAGCCCCTCAGAGGCCCTGGTGGCCAGATTAGGGTGCTGGCCACGGGGTTAAAGAGAAGTGAACAGATCTGAGGAGACAACGTCAAGGGGCTTTATTGGTGGGCTGAGGCCGCACCGCATACTGCTTAAGAGCTGCTTAAGAGCACAAGCTCTGGGACCTGACTCTCCCACTCTCTGGCAAGGTGTGTAGCCTCCCCTGGCCTCGGTTTCCTTGTCTGTAAAATGGTGACAATAACTTTACATCATAGGATTATAGGTTGAGGAGACTGGGCAAGTATAGTCTAGCTTGGTGGAAACCAGGTGCTGCTCCTGAGCTGGGAAGTGCAGGAGCATGTGGGATTGGTGTGCAAGATGCTCTCATCCCATTTGGGATTCTTGATTCTAAGGACCCTGTGTAAGGCACCTAACCGGAGCTGCTCAGCAGGCGGTTGGATGTTGGGTCCCAGGCTCCAGAGAAAAATCTGTGCTGGATTTTCCATTTCATTTAGACTTCTTCTGATTCATTCTTTTAAATTTAGGCTGTATGGGTCACAGCGTTCATGCATGGCTCACAGGCAGTGATGGACTTGGGGCTAGAACTCAGTCTCCTTTATCGGAAATCCTTCTGCTTCAATCAGGCTGTGCCCTCTACTCCAAGAGTCAATAGCTTCTATGTATCAACTCTTGCTATTATCAGGTACTATGCTGAGCATGTACCTGGATCCTCTCCTTTGGACCTCATGACTCTCCGAGATAGCTATTATTAGAGAGGAAGAAGCAGAGGGGAGCTTCAGAAAGTTAAATGTGTTGCCTAGGATCACAGTGTAAATGGCCGAGGGTCTGTCCAGCTTCCATGCCCACTCTCAGAACTTATATTCTAGGGCAGCTCTGTCCAGTAGAATTTTCTGTGATGATGGAATGTTATATTTGCCCTGTTCAATAGGGTAGCCACGAACCACATATGCAGATGAGGAACCAAATTTTTAATCTTATTCTATTTAAAATAATTTAAATTTAATAGCCACATGTGGGTAGTGGCTACCGTGTTGGACAGCACTGTCCCAGTCCTTCCAGAAGGTCAAGAAAGACCTAGAACTTCTCCTCATGTCTTGTTGCAGTTTAATGGTTCATAGTTAGGGACAGGATCCTTCTTATGCAAAACGTGGTTTCTGCCACAGGCTACTGAGCTCCTCACAATAGTCAGGCATGCTAGCCCTCGAGGGTTAAAGAGATATTTCCTGCTGCCCACGGTGTTGAGAGGCACCAGATGGGAAAGTTGGATGGTGTGGGAGGTGTGAAGGCCCCTGGTGGCTTCTGTGACGGGGAGAGGAAATGCCCTTTTGTGGCATCCTGGAAGGCCAGCCCCCAACCCCCCCCCCCCCCCCCCGCCCCGGGCTGGGAGACAAGGAGCACCGAAGACTTCCCGGGATGGCCGGCCCACAGTAGGGACCACCCCTGGGGCATAGTCGCTGGAAGCGAAGGGAGCGTTGAAGAGAGGACCAGAGCAGGCTGGATGGGGCAGCAGGGGCAGCAGGGGCAGCAGGTGAGGAGGTGCCGGGACGGTGCAGATGGTCTGGCTGAGGGGGAGGGGAGGAGCGGCAGGGGCTGTCGGCAGAGGGGTGAGGGGCGCTGTGCAGACAGTGGGGACCAAACAGGCTTGGGCAGAAGCAGCGCCCATGATCCCTTGCCCATCTGGAAGTAAAGACCCTTCGTGTAAACCAGTTGCTTGTGCCCTGCCACCGTCAGCAACAGCCTCATAAACCTAAGTAAACAGAGGCCAAGAAGAGGCTTGTTGCTGCGTCAGCAGCACCTTCTGTGGTTGCAACAGTGCCTTAGTTACCCTCCTTCCCCCAGCAGGATGATTTTCTAATTACATCCAGTCAGGGACGTCAAGTGTGTTTCCCACTGCATTTCATTTCCGGGCCTGTTGAATGCAGAATTAATTTTTAATCGCCCTGGAAGTGTTGAGTTTAATTACTCAGATTGAAAATGACAAGGAGAATAGGACTCAGGGGTAACTTTTTGGGGTGCTTGTTGGGAATGGGGAGCAGATATCTTTTCAGAAGTCTGTTGAAGGGCATGTCTTGGCTGCGCAGCAGGCCCACAGTATGCCCAGCTCAGCAGTAGACAGGGTCAGAGAGGAAGCAGAAAATGTGGTCACCGGAGAAGCCCAGGCTTCGGCTGGACAGAGTCTTACCCAAGCACACAAATCAGAAGAAGGACCCAGTCCAAGACCTCCTGTCCTCAAGGTCTCAACGGTAGAGTGAAGGCTGTTCATCAGTTCACTCAACCCACTGCTCTTTGGGCTATGTCACCATGTCCATCCAAGTCCAAAAGTCAATCACTAGTCTTCATTGTATAGTTTCTACGTGGCAGCTGGGAGTAAACACGGTTGCCCCCGACGGTCGTTCCCCTTTCCTGTTTGGACGTGGGTAATCTTGCCTCTGCCACATGGCCAGGTGCTTGACTATGTGGTCAGTTGGGGGCCATCCCCCATTTTCCTTACAGAGGTTGCTGTAGGTGTGGGCATGTGATGCCATCTTGGCCAATGAATTGTGGGAAAAAGTCAAGGGGCGGGTTCTGGGAAAGGTCTTTTTTTAGTTCTCAAAGTGAGACACACAGGAGATGCCCCTTTTCTCTACTAGGTATTGTTGTATCTTGGTGTGAGGATTTGAGGTCTGGGACTGGGTGGCAGCCATAGTTTCACCGTGAGGAGATCCCCTTGAGAATGTGGCTGACATTCTGAAGATGGTAGAGCCTGAAGAGCCTGGGTCCTCGGTTACGCCCCTGATTGAACCAATCCTGGAACACCCTATCAAGACCCTTTTGTGAGGTGAGGTAATAAATTCTATGTGGCTGTAGTCATCTTGAGTAAAGGTTTCTGTTTCTTGTGGCCCAGGGCATCTTAAGTGAGACCCAGACACTGTGCCAGTGCTTCACATCCATTGCTTATGTGTTGCAGAAACAAATACAAATTAAGACCTGGGTCCTGGGCGCCTGGGTGGCTCAGTCGTTAAGCGTCTGCCTTCGGCTCAGGTCATGGTCCCAGGTCCTGGGATCAAGCCCCACATCAGACTCCCTGCTCCGCGGGAAGCCTGCTTCTCCCTCTCCCACTCCCCCTGCTTGTGTTCCCTCTCTCGCTGTGTCTCCCTCTGTCAAGTAAATAAATAAAATCTTTTTTAAAAAGTCTTTAAAAAAAAAAAAAGACTTGGGTCCTGCTCTCAAGGGGCTACAGTAGAATGGTAGAAAATGGGGTGTAGTGGGTGTGTTGAGCTGAGGGTGACCAACTGCACCCTGCAGGAGGATTCAGGGAAGGCTTCTTGGAGGAGGTGGTATTTAAAGGAAATCTTAAAGGAAAAAAAGTTAGGCAGCAAAGGAGGTGGAAGGGGCATTTCAGGCCAGAGATCACCATGAACTGAGGGCAAGCTGTGATAGCCTGGGGCCTCCTGAGGACCCCAATGGAGTGACCCTGCAGTCTTGTCTGGGCTGGGGCCAGGGAGAGGCAGGGGAGGCATCTGAGGCACTTCCACAAGCCTGTCGGCGAGCACCTACTTTGATACGGTGTCCTAGGCATCTCACCTTGCCCTGAAGGTGTCGGTGCTGGAGGAGTGGGCAAGGGACAGATCTGGGAGGGCTCCTAGCAGCTCTGTCCTGGTAGTGATCAGCAGCCTTCGAAGGGTGTCCAGGGTTTTCGAGACATCTCCTTGGCCAGAGTATGAAGCGGCACTTGCAAGGAAGTGAGGTGGAAATGGGGCAGGTCAGCAAACTAGGCTTTTGGGGGTGGGGCACAGAGAAGTCAGCGGGGACTAGAAAAGCGACCCATGCAGCAGGCTGTGGCAGTGTCCACTGCTGACTTCAGAGGCCTGTGGGGGTGGCCTGGCCTGGCGTTTAACCACAGCCGCGCAGTGGTTCCGGCCCTAGGTCGCGGGGAGCCACAGAGACT